TCTCTCTCTCTCTCTCTTTAACGCTTTATTCCTGTATTCTTTAATGAACATGAAAATGTCTTCCTGTATTATGTGAAAATTCCTGTATGTTTGGCAACGCTAATACCCTCGTGCATTACCCGCACTCTTGTATAACCCGCACTTACAAAATTCATTTAAATTAAAGAAATAACTTGTCAATTCTACCCTAACATTGCCTAAACTAACTCATATTAACTTAATAAATAATATTATTATAAATAACAATTTAATGTTGAGACCATAATAAAATAATTGTATTTGAACAAAAGTTATTCGAAAAAGTAACCACCACATGAAAATTTTCCAAAAATGTCACTTTTGTCTTTGTATAACCCGCGGGTAATGCACAAGAATTTAGGGTAATAGTCTTATGTCTTGGCTATACAATAGTTGCTGCAATAGTTACCTTAATCTATGTTTGGCAATAGATTCATTATAAAATTGCAGTGTAACTAAAATGGTAAGTTGTTTAATGGTGAAGAATCTAATGGAATTGCATTAATTATTTATTGATTTTATATCTGACGAGGTCATTCAATTACAGTCATTCAGCCAATTGTCTAATGAGTCAAATGTGAATCAAATGAGTGTTTGTATTGAATGCAAGCAATAATTTCATTCAATACGTGCTCGGATTTTAGCCAACTACACAGGGGCTGAAATCTGAAACTGAAATTGAAATCTCAAACTCTAAAACTCTATTATTTTCAATTATTTTCAATTATTACCGGTAGTTAGATTTAATTCTTATTTATTTAATTAATAAGTGTTTTATACTTTATTATACTGTATAAAGAATATATCCTAATCTTGTGATACTAAAATAATATAATAATTTATGTATTTAGTTTTTAAACAAGTTTAATTCTTTTAAACATTACATTTTGTTTAATATACTGTACAATAATGTTAGAAAATATTTATAATTTTTAATTCTCATTAAATATTAATTAATTAACAAAAACAAGTAAATAATTAATATTGATAATATAATGATTTTACAATTTAAAAATGAGTAGTCAGTTATTTGTTTTTTAATGTATGATGTATAAATAGTGAGGAGCAAGTTCACTTACTTGTACTTGAGAACCTATATTCTATTAGATCTTCACATATATTCTTACATATATTAATCATATAAAATTCGTACATAAAATTTGTTATAATAAACGAAATCTATTGTTAATAGTATTTTGCCAAATTATGGACACAGTTATAGATTTATATTCATGGCTAATCTATGGGCTGGTATTTGTGGGCGCTTTTTGTTTATTGTATAAGTAAGTTGTTGAATAAAATTGAAATTGACATAATGTTTAAATATAAATTAAAATTAATTATGACTAATTGAGCATGTTAGGCTAACTTTTATATGTTTATTAACAGGCATTTAACCAAGAATTTTAGTTACTTTAAAAAGTTGGGCATAAAAGGACCCAAACCTGTGATAATATTCGGTAATCTATTGGATCTGCTGTTTGTTTCAAAGCCCGACCTCGAAGTGAAGCGATTGAAACAATTTGGCACAATCTATGGGTAATTAGTGTTTATTAACTCTTTTATAAATGTTTAATTATAAAAAGAATGTATTTTAAGTTTAGATTAATTAATATTAATAAGTAAATGGAGTAATAGGTTATATGTTTTATGTGTTTTCAGAAAGAGCTTAACTTTTTCATTAGGTTTAATTATAACTATGACATCGATTTCAACCATTGAATCAATCATTTGAAAAATTTGACTTTAGCTGTGACTAAAGCTAATAAAAAAGTTAAGCTCTTTACGAAAAATTCTAACTCATAATGTTTACAAAGGGCAAATATTTATATGTTTATCAATTATTTGTGCCTCACTAAATGTTATTATTTTGCGTCATTAGTGTATATAAACTATTATTTAATCAGTTGTTGAAAATCAATATAAACGTAATCTACGCATTTTTCCAACTTGTGTATTGTATACTCTCCCGAAAGTGTATGTTTTGATTCCCGAAAAAGCGATGCTCTAGAACATAAATGATACAATATGTTTGAACAGCATAAATATATTAATGAATAAAATTCTAATTAAATAGAATATTCGAAGGCAATAAACCGCTGATACAAGTGGCGGAACCCGAACTCATCAAACAGATTCTGGTGACCGACTTTCGGCTGTTCAACACCAAAGTGCGGATCACAAACATCGGTCACCCCGTCATCGAACGTATGCTGGTGTCAGTGCGGGGCGACGCGTGGCGGCGCACGCGCACAGCTGTGAGCCCGGCGTTCGCCATCGGACGCATGCGCAGACAGTACGCGCAGATTCGCCACTGCGTCGGCGCGCAACTGGTGAACCAATTGCAGACCTGCGCCAACAACTGCGCGCCCGTCGACGTGAAGCGCATGTATGGCTGTTTCACACTATCGGCGATGACGTGGTGCGCGTTCGGCGCCCGCACTGACCCCTACCGCGATTTCGGGCACCCGTTTGTGGCCAACGCGTGGCCCGTATTTAAGCTCCCGCTGTGGAAACTGTTGGCCCTACAGGTGTTGCCCCGCTTTGTATTACGTGTTTTGCGTTTAAACTCGTTGTTTAATGAGAAATGTATCGCAAATATTACCCAAACTATACTTAAGATTATGCGCGCGAAAGAGAGCGCCGGCGATAAAAGCGATGATTTTATTAATGTTGTTATGAACTCAAAACTGGGACCCAATGAAGAACTGCCCGATGATAATAATCCTGATGGTAAGCGCTCTGATTGCTTTTATAATTTATACAACATGGTCATTTAAGATCATTATCAAATATTTCTTTTTAAAAATTATAAAAACATTTATATACATTAATTAAAAAAATAATAGTTAAAAACTAATAACTATTTTTAATAGTTATGCAAACTATGTAAAAGTATAGTTTGTAACGCATTACTATAGATTGAAAAATAATGCGTTTTTGTCACTGAAAAACCTAACTTTATATACAAGTAATGTTTGATTCATTGCTTTGAACCAACGTTTCTCAGAGCGGGTAAAAGCGGGTAAAATGCGGGTAAAAGGGCGTAAACTGTAATGTATTGTCTATGAGAGCATAGAGGCAAAGCCTACTTTTTTGTTAGTTTTGAGAACTCTTGCTTTGAACACATCTTTAATTATTAAATATCAAATTTTATAATAATGAATTATAAATAATTTTTTCTGTGCAAAAGCATCAAAAACGCATTATTTTTCAGTCTATACGCATTACACAATATGTGCTATAAATGTAAAAATTATCGCAAAAAAAAGTTGTTTAAAATGGTTTGAATTGACAGATGAGGAGAATCTGGTGATGCGATCCAAGACTGACGACAATATTGGGACCAAAAAGTCGCTCACAGAGGAGGAGATCGTCGCCCAGGGGTTCATATTCTTTACGGCAGCCTTCGATCAAATGGCAAACCTGTTGTCATTCATAACGTATGAGTTGGCGCTCAAACCCGAAGCGCAGGACCGGCTCTACGAAGAGATCGCCGCCGCTGTGGACGCGGACGGAGAGATCGGTTACAACGAGTTGTCGCGTTTGCCATACATGGATGCGGTGGTCAACGAGACACTGAGACTGCACGCGGCGCCCGTCAAACTGCGGCGAACGCCGGGTAGAGATTTCCCGTTGGGCGACACCGGGATTGTGGTGCCGCGCGGACAGCCCCTAGAGATACCCATCTATGCTATCCATCATTCCGATAAATTCTACCCGAACGCCGATCAGTTCATTCCCGACCGGTTTTTGCCCGAAAACCGTCACAATTTAAAGCCGTATACATTCATGCCGTTCAGCACCGGTCCCCGCGTTTGTGTGGGAAAGCCCTTCGCGCTAATGGAGGCTAAGCTGGCGTTAGTTCACGTGTTGCGCCGCTTCCGGTTCGCCGCCCATAAGGACACAAAAGTGCCGCCAATTGTTAAGACACACCCAATGATGAAATCACTGGAATCGCTGTATATCTCGGTTGAGGCCAGAGATTAGCTAAATTGCAATTTATTTTTAGTGATTATTTTTAAAAACATTTGGTTATTATTATTTTATTTTAATAGTTTAATATTTTGTTTAATATTGATTTCAAATGCTGAGATACTTATTATATTATTTAAAATTTTAAATAATTGTATTTGAACGTTTATTGGTAAATTGCAATTCTGATATACTTGTAATTAATTTGAATATTATAATATTGATGAATTATATTTTGTAATTTTTCAGAATAATTATAAAGTTGAATAAATTGTATTTTATTTTCTAATACTTTATATTGTACAATCGAGTTTTTCAAATGTAAATGTAACTGTTAACATCTAACATTGATCTGTCGGCGTACGGCCGACCAGAGACTGTAGTAAGTTTACAGCACTCGAGTGACGCCACGCGCGGACAGCCACAGACAACTGTACATGGGGTGCATTTATGTTGCAATATCAAACATAATCCACTTTCTAATATTTATATTGTAATTAATGAAATCAATAAACCCATAATTAATTTTGAAAATACATTTTACAAGTTGTGTTCGTTAACCTTAATTATATATTTTATTTATTTGTAATTTTTACTGTTTATTTATTTCGTTTCATACACTAATTACAACAGATATTTGTTTTCTTGTAAACAGTTAATTAAAAATAATTTATAATCTTTAAATATTACAATTAATCTTTTTAAAATTTTTAATTTAGTAACATTAAAATATTATACATTATACAATATGTATAATAAAGGATAACACAGTATTAGTTATTATTGCAGTTATTTTATAACCAAAAACATAAATGGGTTTTAATAATGATAGATTTTTAATGTTCAATATACCCTACATTAAAATAAATACCTAAAAAGCAACGAGGCTCAAGATAAAAACTATTAAAACAGATTTCAAACAGACACAGTTGGCATTTAAGGGGTATACAATGAAACACAATTATCAAAAGTCTTTACAAAAAAATTAATTAAAATTCATATATATTTATTAAATTATAAAATGTATTTTAATAAAATATATTTAATACATGATAAAATTATAAAATTAAATTAATATTTACAGACAAATAGTGTGTAAATATATCTCCGTTTGCGTACAAATTATTGGCCGTCGCGTGGATTACAGCCCAGAGACAAGTCCTGTACGACAGCACGTGTTCACGAACTCAAAGGGGAGGTCAGTAGCGATGGGGCGCCGGGAGTGCCGGTGCTGTAGTGGCCAATAAACTCAGTGAATGCCAATCACTGCCCGATCCGGTAGCCCAATGTTGACGGCTCCCCCAAAACACCCCTCATGTAATGCCGAACCCGTTTGTATTTTGGGTTTTATTTATACCTTGTGTTAATTAGTTTAATAAAATAACGAACAGATAAATTTATTATGAATTTGGTTATGCACATGTGGATAAATTTTTTAAAACTTAATATGTATTAACACTTGTAAACAGAATGTTAACCCTAAACAAAATTGTAATGTTTTATAAATTAAACTTTTAATCTATATAATTAGTTAATTAAATATATATTTTTAAATTTTTTATAACAATCAAAATATTTTTAATGCATTTATATTAGAATTGAATAAATATTGTATTAGAATTTATTTATTCAACGCATTAGAAGTTTTAATTTCATATTGATATTTTTAAAAATATATATATATTACATAACATTAATTGTCTTATTTTCATTAAAAATTAACAACTTGATATTAAGAATAATAAAAATATTCATAAATTAATTAAAATTCATATTTATTTATTAAATTATAAAACAAATTAAAATAAATATATCTAATACATGATAAAAATATAAAATGTTGTTAATATTTCCAAGCAAATAGTTTATAAATATAACTTGGTTTTCATATAAACAATTGGCCGTCGCGTGGATTACAGCCCAAAGACAGGTCTTGTATGACAACACGTGTTCCCGAACTTTATGGCCGGTCAGTAGCGATGGGGTGCCGGGAGTGCCGGTGCTGTAGAGGCCATAAACGCAGGAATGCCAATCCATTACCCGGAGGCCTAAAGCCCGCATGTGATGCTATATTAATTTGTGTTCAGTCCTTTATTTATACCATGTTTAAATTTATTTTTATTAAAATATGCGATAATATTTAATAAAAAAGAGATATCATGATGTTATCTATCGCTTGCAGATGCAATAATAACTAACAAGAATGTAAGAATGTGAAAAATACTGAAAAATTTACTGTCATGTGGGATTAAGTATCTTATGTTTTGAAACAACAACTATTCTTAGAATTTTTGGTTTATTGGCTTAAATAAGGGGATTATATCCAGGGTCAAAATCACGTGTCATTTTGCCACACAATAATTGTATATAAAGTGGCTTAAAAGTAATATTGTATTTACATCTAGGTCAAAAACAGTGGATATAATGACCAGTTTTAGTAATGATATACAATTGTTTGGCATTTTATCACTGATTTTACATGAATTGCAATCAATTGTTTGATTAATTGAAAAATAATCATTATTTTCGCTTTCAATCGCTTCACACAAAACGTTATTATTTGTATTCAAAATACACTGAATTTTGTTTATTATTTCACACAAACTCTTCATTTTAATCAACGAAACACTTATTAATTGTGACCACATTTTGTAAAAGTGTATTTGATTTTGTGAAAAAATAATTGTAGTATTTGTGCAAAACTTTTGAGAGATTTATTGAAATCACAAATCAATCTCACGATTAAATCAAGTACAGGTATTTTTATATTTTATTACAATTATTAAAATGATATACTAATTGTTTTATTTATGTATTAATTTGTTTTTATATTGTTTTGTATTGACATTTAGCCCAAAAACAGTGGACATAATCATCAGATTTAGTAATGATATGACAATTGCTTAGCATTTTATCACTGATTTTACGTGAATTGCAATCAATTGTTTGATTGATTGAAAAATAATCCGTATTTTCGCTTTTAATCGCTTCACACAAAACAATATAAAAACAAATTAATACATAAATAAAACAATTAGTATATCATTTTAATAATTGTAATAAAATATAAATCAATGATATGATTGTATGATATAATATGTATCTCTGTTTGACAGCATATGATAGGAATGTGATGCGAGACATCCACTGAGAGAGAGAGAGAGAGAGAGAACAACCCTTAAGTTTATAGAGATGGTTACGATTTTCAATACTCTGTCAATAATGCATATAAATTAAATACATGTATGTTTTTGAAAAATAAAAAATTTAGTTTAAAAAAATTTGAAACCTCCATGAATTTTGCAAAATTTAGCATTTATTTATTGTTAAATTTAGACCATAAGTGGAGTAGTATTATATATTATATTACTTATAACTTATTTAAGGATATTAGAAGTTCACCATTATCTTTAATAAATTTAAATAATATTTCGAAATACAGTACAGAATTTTATTTAACAGAATAACACTTTAATTCAATCTCTGGCCTCAACCGACATATACATAGTTTTGGGGGCTTTCATAACGGGATGTGTTTTGATAATTGGCGGCACATTTGTGTCCTTATGGACGGCGAACCGGAATCGGCGCAACACGTGAACCAACGCC